GCAGTATTCCCATAGCACAATTTACACAAATGCAACTATATGTTTATTGACCAGGATTTTATCAACAATCTTTAAATTAGCTAGATTCACAGATTTTATTTGGAGGCTTGTAAGTTTTTTTTTTTTAAGCTATGCAGACAATCTTATAGTTTTTATAGCACTAGCAGGGGTTTATTCTGAATGTGGTACTGCCATTTCCAGAGCAACAATTATACTTTTTATCACTATACTGGTCAAAAAAGAGTAATAAAAACAAGTGGTTCAAAAAAAAGAAGGTAGTTTATTATTTGTATAAAAGAAAAAAACATTTTGTTAGTAAATGTAGTTTTAGAAAGCATCTTAGTTTGCTCTTTTGTGAAAATAACATACAATCAAAAAGTAGTTAATTATACTTAGAAGATGTTGAAATTAGAAGAAGTAGATCTAGAGTATATAACAAGAAAGATTTATAGTCAGGTAAAAATAAAATATTAGGAGGAAATAATAAGGCTATCTTAGTTGGTACTAAGGTGGTTAAAGGAGAGAATTCCTTTGTTTTCAAGAAATTTAATATGTTTAGTAACTAGTCCAAATCTGAGATTTTACTATTTTATATAGGAGAAGATGTTTTGATTAAAAGAAGATTAGAGATTGCAAAGACTATAATAAAAATTAGGAAAAGAATTGTTCATCACTAGGTTTTCTGAAGGTAAGCCTAGTGTTTTTAGTCATGAAGCAGGGTTTTTAAAAGTTCTAATTAGTAATCGATTTGTAAAGGTTAAACCAAACTTTGTCTCAAAAGTTATTTTATTTCAAAAGGCTAGATGGTCTATTGCAAACAATAGAAAAGAACTGGTAGTTAATTTTTTTGATCTAAAAGATAGTTACTATCATGTATTTAAAGATTGTTAGGTTTTGTTATAAAAAAGATATAGTACTAATACAAGATATTATCTTTTGATCTTAGCAAGACCCTCTAGGTCTTTTCAAAAATGATAAGAGCTTTAATTAGCAAATAGCAGACCTAAGAAGTATATTGTGACAACCATCTAGATGATGTTAGATTATTTATCTAACAAAGAAGAGATTGTTAGAGAAAGTAATAGAGGTAGACCTTGCAAGCTATAATTGGGTCTGGGCCAAAAAAAAGAGTATTAAGACTTGATATAAATATTAAAATTTTGTAAAATGTTGGTAAACATATTGAACAGAATAGTAGAGAAAAAAATAATTTAGTTATATCAAAATTGGTAGTAATATCAGAAGTGACAGTGATGTTAGCAAGAGATTTAGCATTAGTGATAAGTGAAAACTCTAAGAAAACTAAATCTGATTTTATTTAAACAGTTGCTAATAAGTACAAGAGATTGACTAATAACTTGGCAGCAGTTAAAAATTTTTAAAAATAACTCAAGTGAAAGTAAAAAAACAAAATGGCTTTAAATAATAAAAAGATAATTTTAGAAAATGAAAAAAGCAGAGCTATTAGAAGAGAATTTAAGTTTAAAAGCTCAAATCTATAGATACTACAGGTGGTCTTAGACCTATTAAAAGAAGACAATAAAAAAAAAGACTAGATACTAGTCTAAAATATAAAGAACAAAGAAAACATAGACTCAATTATCAAAAAAAACTTTAAAAGAACAAAGAAAAAGATTTTGGTAGAATACTGGAATACAAAAAATGATCTGAACACTTCAACAACCAAGCTAGAAAAATATAACAGATACAAGCTAGACCAGAAAAAACAAAAAAACTTATGCAAAGTATTAATTAAGAGGACAAAATACAAGGCACTATTTCAAGATATATAAACAAGCAAAAGAAGAATATCCTCAAAATTAGCTAAGAAATATTCAAGACAATACAAAAATATCCTATATTAGAAATACTATTAGATAAAAGAGAAGTACAAAAGATCTACTGCTATGATTTAGATATTGAAGTCATTAGAAAACAACATATTAGCTCAGAGATATAAAAAGATCTTATCAGAAGAAATCTAGTAGCAAAAAAAAGCTCTCAGCATCAGATGATATTCTATATTGATAGATCTCTAAAGAATAATAATATGTTTTTATGAAATAAGCCAGATAGCATGAAAGCTAGTTGAGTACAAGTAAACAAAAATAAAACTGGAGTTATAGATAAGAGTTGTTTCGAAGCAAAAAATTAGCTATTATCAACAAAAGCTGAGTTGCTTAGAATTTGATATATACTTCTTATAGTATCGAGTAAAAAGAAAGTTAAAATCTATACAAATAGCTTAGTAACAATAGAAGCTATAGAAGAAAAAAAAAAACAATGTGACAGGTGCTAAAGAAAGAAAATTTTAATTTAATAAATAGTATAGCTGATATAATTAGAACTAAAAAGATTTAGATAGAGTTAATGAAGATTAAAAGTTATAGTAAAAACGGATAGAATAATAGTATAAATAATTTAATAAACAATTCATCTATTATCTGAAGAGGATCTGCAAATTTTATAAATAAATTTTAATATTAAGCCAAATGTGAAGAGATTTTTTTTAAAACTTTTTTCTTACTAAGTAAATTACTTTTGGGTTTCTAACAAAGTTGTAGAGCTCATCAAGATGCATCTAATAGTAGTAAAAATGCTAAAATCAGCCTGGTAGTTCTTGAGAAATCTTTAAAAAATATTTTGTCGATATATAAAATTTCTTTAAAAAAAATTGATTTTTTTTAAAGAAATTTTATATGTTGGCGAAATGTTTTTTAAAGATTTCTCAAGAACCACAAGCCAATTTTAGCATTCTTACCACTATTAGATGTGTCTTGATGAGCTCTACAACTTTGTTAGAAGCCCAAGAGTGATTTACTTAGTAAAAAAAAAGATTTCTTTACATTTCTTTAAAAA